AAATGCACTCATGGGTTGATTTTTGTGTCACAAAATACTGAAAGGTTAACTTGTTAAAGTCCAGCGGTTACCAGGTTATCCCTGCTGGTATAATGAACCATCCAGCCCTCCTTCACCACAGTGGAGCTCCGTCTCTTGGTGTGTTTGATGGACTGGACCACTCGCATTAGAGGGATGTTGCTGCTCGTGGATGGACTGGACACAATAACAAATGAATGTGTGACAAAACAGAATAAATATTTAAAATGTACAGTTATAGTTTATAAAATGATATTTTGGCCATTCTGATGTGTCTTAATGTAAAAAAACTATAAATAAATCAATAGCATCTTACTCATTTTATTAAGCTTTCTGAACTGCATTTGCTCATTAAAATAGTTTTTAACGTGCAAAACATCATAAAGAAGCTTCAACCTGCAAAAGTTAGTGCAAACGTTCTGTTATGAATCAATACTCACTCGTTTAGCACAAGAAACAATATATTTTATTGTCGCCGCCTCCAGTGAATGATAGTTTAAGAATTAGGGATGTTCGATATTGGCTTTTATACCAATTTAGTGGAATTCTTCATTTCTGATACCGATAGAAATTGATAGCAATATATGCAGGGTCGCACTGTCATTAAGAAAAGGAAAGCTAAATCTTTTTAAGTAACCAACAGCACCTATCTCCTATTATTTGTTACAATTTAATCATTATAAACTTAAAGTCCTGTTCGTCATCACACAGTGGTGAAGTTCATCTCCACGTTTGACCCATTCCCAATTGGGAGCGGTGAGCAGCAGCAGTGGCTAAGCTCGGGAACTATTTGGTGGTTTAATCCCCCAATCCAGCCGTTTAAAGCTGAGTGTCAAGCAGGGTGGCATTGGGTATGACTCGACTGGGATTTGAACCCCGATCTGCCAGTACCAGGGCTGACACTCTACCACTAGGCCACTGAGAAGGTATATAATTATAATTCAAATGTAAACATTATTAGTGCAAAATAAAACAACCGCTTCAATTAAAGTTGTGCCAAAAAAACTAAACTATCTTAGAAACTACATCGGAGATATCGTATGTTGATGTTATGAGTGAGAGACGTGGCTGCAGCGTTTGATGTTAAAGCTTGTATCATTAAAGAGTAAAACTGATACAGATCATTTCCCATGTTGCATTTTAACACCATTATCGGACATCCCTAAGTAAAACATCAACGGTGGTGCAAAGGTTCATATTGTAGAATTAGAAACAACAATAAGGTTTTGGAAATTAAAGTCATCTTATGAAGGCAACAACTCTAATTTATCATGGCTGCACTTGAACTGATATGCTAAAGGCTAGTTTAAGTAAAACAGCAATTGTTTCGCTCAAAACTGCCAAAATAACCCTTTAAGACCTTATAGTTTTGATGGGCTCTTCATCCTTCTCTCTGTCAACGAAGGGGGAATCCATGCCAAACATCCCATCCGGAGTGGACGGCTCGTCCGGATCATCCAGTCCTCTGCCACTGTCCAGATCACTGCTGTCCACCTCCATAGTATCCATGGTGGTGTCGGAGTCAGGTCCAGGGCTGGCTGGTTCTGCTCGTTCACACCAAACATCGTCAGATGTCGTTAAACATTGGTGCTTACATGTTTGAAGATGGAAAAAATTCAACATTTATGCATCCTAACGTTAATCCTGGAGGTTTTTGTCATGGACACGGATTAGGATTGTTAGAATTTTAATTCTATTCTAGATTTTTAGGTTTATTTCAGATTTCTTTGTTTGGACCAATTATTTATTAATTTATTTGTAATTTTCCTCGTTTTAAATCTACAAAGTAAAACTAGGATTACATTTCTGTGCAGGAACTGATCTCTTTTTAGTGACTGTGGATTTTATATACCGTAAATCCTCCAATACAGGCCGGTATTCAATTAAAGGCCGGGTCTCCAATTGTGGCCGGTGTCAAAGTCGGTTGAGGTAAATAATGGCCGGTCTCTTATTGTGGCCGGGTGGAATGTAGTAACAAGCAATTTTGAGCGTCCCAGCGGCAGGGTTATAGTCCCCAAATCAACCAGCAGGAGGCAGTAGAGGTTCACGCAGACCTTTATTAGGCTTTTTCTTCAACGCTTTGTAACGCTACAGACACGATCCTCTATCACGCTCCTACCACACAGAGTCACGGTGTCAGTTAACCATGCTAATTCAACCCGCTCCACAGAACACACATCAACTTCCCTGTGGCTTACATAACACTCACACAACACACAAATCAGCACATAGGAACTAGCAGAACGATAGGAAACACATATAACACAATACCCAGAATGCACCTGGCTTACAACCCCAGCCAGGTCATTACGCTATCAAGTTCAAAGAGAACGTGCTGATTATGCTGCAGAACACTCTGGAGAGCAGCAGTAGGGGGTGTATGAACTAGTCAACTTCACTATAGTGACTTTTTATGCCTGTCGTCGACTAGTCGCTGTCACGTGATAATGACCGGCAAGATGCAGCCCTCGGAAAAGACAGCAGTCTGCTGTCAGCAGGTGACAAGCTCCTGCGCTCGGGGGTGGGGGGTGGGAGCAACGCGCTGTGCCAGACCGTAGGTACTGACACGCGATCGTTCATGTTGGTTCATTTCCTTTAATGTTTTCTGTGTTTTATTTGCGCCTGATGCGTTTCGCTGCATGCTGTGGAGCGGGGCGCTGCGCGCATCACCTTGTCCTCCGACGCACTGATCACTGATACGGCCGACAAACAGCGAGCACTCCGCTGTTTTTGCGGTCGGTAGATCTTTTAGAACTGCAGTTCAAAGGTAACTCATGAGGTGAATATATATGAACCCAGGTAGCAGTTTTTCTTAAGAATTGAGAGGAGATGCAGGAAGATAATAAACAGACAGGACAGAAAAATAGTCAAATAAAAACAAGTTAGTTTTTGTACCTGCTGTTGCAACAAACAGACACCATTGAAGGTAATCAGAAGTGAGGAACAGAAAATGAAATAATTATTTTAATGTTTAGAGCAGCAGGAACTCCGAGAGGCTGCAGGCGCATCAGTGAGTTTGCGGCCGCTGCGCAGGGGGAGGGGGGAAGAGGGCTAAAGCAGGGGGAGGGGGGAGAGGGCTAAAGCAGGGGGAGGGGGGAGAGGGCTAAAGCAGGGGGAGGGGGGAGATGGCTGAAGCAGAAACTACCGTTGTTAAAAGAAATGTGTTTAACTTTGAAAATGTGGGCGCAATTTTAATTGTCAAAAACTCCAAGGAACATTAGTTCATTTTGCTCAAATGGAAATAGAGGCCTGCCTCTAATACTGGCCCTCCTTCCAATAAAGGCCTGGAGCTTGATGAGCTTGAGTCAAATAGAGGCCCGGGCCTGTATTAGAGGATTTACGGTACATCATTTATATTTCTAATATATTTTATAAAACATTTTATATTTTGCTGCTTTATTTATGATATCTGTTTAATTGTGGACCTGGGTCTGTCAGTAAAGTGTGACTGGATGATATCAGCTAAATTATGGTTTAACACATACATTTTTAACATTTCATGCATATTTTACACTTTAAAATCTTCTGTTGTTTTTCCAAAAGCACAAAATAAGAATAAGAGGGTGAAAAAAGCTAGACAGAAGGGTTTGTAATGGTAAATGGTAAATGGCCTGTATTTGATATAGCGCCTTCTAGAGTCCTGGAACCCCCCAAGGCGCTTTACAACACAATCAGTCATTCACCCATTCACACACACATTCACACACTGGTGGGGATGAGCTACGATGTAGCCACAGCTGCCCAGGGGCGCACTGACAGAGGCGAGGCTGCCGAGCACTGGCGCCATCGGTCCCTCCAACCCCCACCAGCAGGCAAGGGGGGTTAAGTGTCTTGCCCAAGGACACAACGACAGCAACAGACTGAGCGGGGCTCAAACCTGCAACCTTCCGATTACGGGGCGAGCACTTAACTCCTGTGCCACCGTCGCCCCATCACTGTAGCCGTGTATGAATGTGCATCCTGATTTATTATCCCATATCCCCATAAATCTTATTAAACAAGGTTCTATTCGCTTCGGACATGAAGGCGTTTCGAGTTACCTTGACATGTTTCGACCGTCGTCTGCGGTCTTCATCAGCAATGTCACAGGTGTTTGTGTGACGCGTCTATCAGCTGTTCTTCTGGTGGGTGCCACCAACCCGGATCTGTCAGATCTACCGGGTCGGTCACGCCCACCTCCACTGGCTGGTCTTTGGAGAAGGGAATCCCAGGTGCGAGACAGCTGATAGGCCCCCTCGTCTCTGTTCATGTTCCAATGTTCCCATTTCCTTATTTCTATTGCCTCCCTGACCCAACGCTTGAACCGGTTGTTCTCGGTGATAATTTTCCCTCGATCCCAGTCCGTGATGTGATCATTTCGTTTGCAGTGATCTGAGATTGCTGACTTGAGGGTTTGTTCCTCTGCTTTTTTCTTTGTTGTCCTTGTGAGGCTTTCTGTTGTTTCCTTCTCACATTCCTTCTGGTGCTCTTTTCTTCTTATATCATATGTTCTGCCGGTTTCCCCTATGATGTTTTATTGCACGACATGCATGGTATTTCGTAGATTACATTGCATTTCTTGTCTGGTTCTATTTTGTCCTTGGGGTGTACTAGTAGCTGTCTGAGTTTCATGTGTGGTTTGACGGTTGTGTTGATTTGTTGTTTTTTCACGGCCCTTTGTGTACGATCTGTGACTCCCCGGATGTATGGAATAGTAGCGTTGGGTACCGAATTCTGTAATTTTTAAGGTACCGACCGAATTTCATAGTACCGACTGAGCACCGATTCATGCCATCTGAAACAGTGCCTCGTTTCGGTACCCGTCCTTCATAACGAGAACTTGCCTAGACAGCTGCGCATGCGCAAGAGCGTTACGTCGGTTGCTGCGAGTGAGTTGTAAACAGAGCAGCATGGTAGAAAGAACGCACGCTAAAGCTTGGGTCCACTTCACTAAATGTGATGGGTAACTGGGTGATGATGAAACCAGCAACGACGATCTAAGTGAGACATCCTCATCTTAATCTGCTCCGTTAGGTAAATAAAATGTTTAAGATAACGTTAGCTTGATATGTTAGCTTCCGTTCCGCTAATGGTGCGTTCGCTTTCTCCTCGGAACTCCGAATTTCCGACTGGAAGAACATGAACGCGCTCTGAAGTTTGGCTTCACTTTACTAAATGCGACGGGTGATTGGGTGAAGATGAAACCAGCGACAACGATCTAAGTGTGAGGCATCATTGTTTTAATCTGCTCCAGCAGCTAAATTAACTGTTTAAGATAACGTTAGCTTGATAAATTAGATTCCATTGCCACCATTGTTATCAGCTAATGGTGCGTTCGCTTTCTCCTCGGAAATTCTAACTTCCCAGTGGGAAAAATCAAATGAAAAAGGACGGCAAAAGGAATGAAGTTACACAGTAAATTTAGTTCACAGTAAAGATGTTTGCTTCAGTTTAATTATCAGCTTATAAAACTACAAGGACGATGTTAAAATACAAACAGTTGATATTTATCAAATATGGTTATATATTGAGAAAAATATATATTTAATTACAAAAGAGAATTAAAATATTAAACACTCAAAAGTATCTAAAATTGGTACCGTTAAGTACCGGTATCGATTCCTAGGTACCGGAAATTAGTACCGAATCGATTCAAATGTCAAAGGTACCCATCCCTATGGAATAGGGATGGTGTCTGTGTGCGTGTAGTCTGGTCTTTGTTTTCTTTTTTGGTCTCTCTGTTTTTTTTATTTTCTTTAACTTGTTCTCCTTTATCTATGGCCCATTTTGGATACTGACAGAGGGTTAGTGCTTGCAGGTCCGGGTTGGTCGCGCCCACCAGAAGAACAGCTGATAAAGACGCGTCACACAAACATCTGTGACATTTCTGATGAAGACCGCAGACAACGGTCGAAACATGTCAAGGTAACTCGAAACGCCTTCATGTCCGAAGCGAAAAGAACCTCGTTTAATATTAAAAAAAGAGGATTTTTTTTCTATCACACCAATCAGCCACGTCTTTGTAAGAAAAAATATATAAATATAAATAAATTTTAGGTAATTTTTTGTAAAAAAAATTCTGTATGAATAATAATAATAATAATAATAATAATACATTTTTTCTAGCGCCTTTCAAAGCTCTCAAGGTCACTGTACAAGACAAAATATAAGGAACAGCAAGCAATACAAACAAGAATTAACTGCTAAAATTAGTTCCCAAGTGTAGAGTCAGAGCAGTACAATGGATAATAGACTAAGAAGAGTAGATGGAAGGAGGACAGTTACAATGAGTAAGCCAGGCGGATGTGAGTTTTGAGTTGAGACTTGAAGGTTTATATTGCGGAGGTCAGGCGGTAGAGTGTTCCAGAGTTTTGGAGCTGAGTAGCTGAAAGCTCTGGCTCCCATAGTACTGAGACGAGTGCGAGGAGCAGACAGGGAAGGTGAAGATGATGATCGGAGAGAGCGAGTGGGAGTGACAATGTGGAGGAGATTAGAAAGATAAGGGGGAGTGAGATTATGGATGGCTTTAAAGGCATGAAGAAGTATCTTATAGTCAATTCTGTATTTGACAGGGAGCCAGTGAAGTTGCTGCAGGACAGGGGTGATGTGATCAAAAGTGGAGGTCTTAGTGATTATCCAGGCAGCTGAATTTTGGACTAACTGTAGCTTGCTGAGTGATATTATAGGGAGACCAGAGAGGATGGCATTACAGTAATCGATGCGACTGGTGACCAGGCTGTGGACCAAAATAGCAGTGGAGTGCTGACTGAGGGAGGGGCGGAGCCGATTGATATTGCGGAGATGAAAATAAACAGTTTTTATTGTGTTGTTAATATGAGGAATGAAGGATAAGGTGTTGTCTAAGATGACACCCAAGCTCTTAGCTTTGGGGGTGGGGAGAAGTGTGGTGTTGTCGAAGCTGAGTGAGAATGAACTGGTCTTAGATAGAGAACGTCTTTTAAAGATTTTATTTGGGGGGTTTTTGGTTAAGTAATAAGGAACGTGGACAAGCGGAGGACAAAAAAAGAGAGGCATATAATAGTTACCTCCATTGAAGTCCACCTCTCCTAAACAGTCTCTGGGTACCTTGGAAGCACAACGCTTGTGGCAGTTAAATCTGCAATCTGACAAGAGATGATTCCGTTATTGTGTTTCTGTTTTTATTCCTTGAGGAAAGCCGTTTGGACACGCTGTCCCACCTTTACACTGCATGCCCTGGCGAAAGAGACCCTTGAGTAGACGCTTGCAGTACTGGCAGATGGTCGGCCGGGTGTAGGTGTGAATGGCAAAGGTGTGTGGCACCTTAACCCGCGTCTTCTCCATCTTATCCATCCAGATGGGCCTGCCGCTCCAGGACAGGATGCGCTTCCCTGCCTCCTGGTGGGAACGCTGTTGCTGAGGTTGAAAATTGAAAAATACACTAAATAAATATGACTTAACACATTATTCACATTTTGAGTGACACTGACACTAACAAGCTTTTTATATTTGTGATGTTTTACCAAATATGGAATGCTCCTATTTTAATGTGCATAAATCACTCAGTCTGGAGGATTCCGACACACACAGGAGGAACTCTTTCCATTTTATTTCCAGACACAAGAAGTTGGACTTGAGCGGAATCATTAGCATAATTACATTTCCACATGACCTTTTGCGCGGACACAGAATAGAAGGGAGGATTTCTGTGTGAGCTTATGCAAAAGCGGTTTCATAAGACCTCACCGAGGAGATCTCCTGAGTCAGTGCAGCTAAATTCAATTTTCTGCATCAGTGGTATTCCACAATGTGGCCCTGGAGAGGCGGCTGTGGAAAGGAGCCAAATTAGATAAGTTTATATACATCTAACAGCGGTGACGGAGCTTGTGAGCAGCATGTGGACGGAGGGTTACGGCAAAACCAGAGGAAGATCACTTTAGGTGAGAGGACAGTTAAAAAATTCATCTCTGTGCATCTATTAGAACTCGCCTCGTCAGGAACCACCACCGCATTTTCAACTGGTAACGGTCTCGGGACCGAGAGGGACGGTCCGGGTAAGGAGACATTGGACAATCGCCTCTTCCTCACACCGGTACAGTTATTAGGGATCTTGAAGGCACAACGTTTGTGGTAGTTCAGCCCACATCCTGGAAACAGAAAACAAACAAACGCAAAGTCAGAGTTGGGCTAAAGACATTTTTCATTCAGCAGATACACCACAAGGTGGCTCCACCGAGAAAAATTCTACTATGCATGATCCAAAAATGACCTCAGGGTAAGATTAGCAGAGTAAGGAAGCAAGAGGGCTAATAACAAAAAAGGGTTCTGGATTCAACCAGATGGCACATTTCTAACCTTCACATTTGAGGCCCTGGCGGACGAGACCCCACAGCATCTCCCCACAGTAGTCGCAGAAGGTGGGGGCCTTGTAGGAGTGAACGTAGAGGGCGTGAGGTCGGATCTGGAAGTCTTCAACAGTGGCCTGGGCTTTAAAAATATTTTTAAAATATGTACAACTCAAAAAATAAAAAATCAAATCAAAATAGAAAACTAAAAAAAATCATAAGAAAATAAGGAACCAAAAAGAGAGCAAAGAAGATGATTATTGTTTTTAACTGCTTAAACTAACAAAGCATATTATTTTCTATATTTGTTAAGTTCTACTGATCCTGAATAGCTATGTTACAAAGAAAAGAAGGAAAAGCTTGGGTCTAAAGAGCTGTATTGTTAAAAATTAGAAATAAATCACCTAGTTTCTGTGTTTACAAGCCTCTATTTATTACTGGAGTCTCTGCCAAATCAAAAAATTATCAATTTCTGACTATTTGGTTTAATACCACTTTCAGTGGGTCGTCCAGATTAGAAGGGTGAAAAAAGTGAATGTAATTTGTAATTTACCATTTGGACAATCTTAACAAAAGCCTAAAAAAACAGCATTGCCTAAAAATGTGATTCTGTGAGTCGAGAGTAACCAGGCGGGCTATGTGCACCCTCGCTGTGATAAAATCCAAACAAAACTGATGCAAAAACCTATTAAACACATTATACGGGATAATTTGCTTCATTAAGATGCAATTCTGCTGTAGTTAAACCAGTTGCAATGCCCTGATTTCTCCAGCAGAGGGCCTCACATGTGCAGCAACACAACTTCAGTGTATTCACTCCCTCCATCATGTGACAGACACACCCAAATCAAACCAAAAGTACAGAAAAAACTTGATTAATCACCCAGTTCGTGTTTTTATTAACTATCATCCAATCTGGAACCGTTCTAATTCTGCCTCTCATTTTTCTTCATCCATCCCTTTGTTTTCCTCTCAAAGGCATCACTTAGCTCACAGTTGGAAGAGACTCCTGATTAATCATGGCTGTGAATAATCCAACGTGTGAAGATGAGGTGACGGCTGCCAGTATATTGTGCTTGTAACTGAAACGTGTGTTTTCTCGGAAAGCTTCGCTGCTGTTCCCATGCTCCCGTGCAACTTATTTATGCAGCCGCGGCGACCAGTAAGGGAATGGTTCATCTCTACAGTGAGGTCAGGCAGTGAAAACTGGATTTGTGACAACGGTGATGTCATCTGGTCTGTTAAGAGGTGCACTTTCACTTTGCAAGTCATTCAACCAAAATTCACCTCATTCTGGGAAGAGAGAGGGCATGATTGGATGTCATTTTTGTGGTTTTTGTCACTTTTTAGAGTCAAGAAGGTGATTTTCTCCATCAATTTCAATGATAATATAAGCCAAGACTATCCGGCCTGCTATTTCCCGGTTCCAGTAAACCACATTGACTTGTGTGTTTGTAGTTTGATCAAAGAAACCCCAGTAGGTCACATGTCATGGGGAGAGCAGATGAGTGAAAAGGCGGCTTTCATGAGCCTTTTCGCACATATCTGCAAAACAACTGGCTGCTTTGGAGCTGCCATGGGGTTGCATAACATCTGTCTCGCAAATTAGCATCAAACATAAACTCAACATGATGTTTTTTTTACAGTATTTCTCACCAGAATGAATGCAGTGTCTGTTTGCAGAGGGGAAATGAAAAGGTTTTATTTTTGAGGCCAAAACTTTCCAGCCGACGAAAAACAGCTCGGAGTGTTTACGACAAGCAGGAGGCATTGTAAAATATGTTTTTCTCTGTTCCGCTGGTGGTGAATGAGGAGCTTGTGAAAGTGGGTGGGATTTAAACAGGAGTGAAAAACAGAACAAAGGGACAATCGGTCAGGCCAAACCTCAAACCTCAAAGGGTCAAGAGGCCCTGCGTGGTGTCCGCTGCGTCCAGGGCCGCCCTGCACATCAGAGCCTGTTTACACCCCGTAAGTCTGCTACAATCACTTACTGCAGGAAAAACAAACGCTTCTCTTTGAGCGTGGAGCCAAGAAAAAGCAACGTATGCCTCTCTCTCTCACAGAGAGGACGATTCTTGTATCATCTCTCTCCCACAGCTGCAGAATTCAGCAACACACCCGTGATGAAAAAATTTAAGGAAGAAAGCAAGTTTTTGTTTCAGAAAAATCCAGTTTCTGGCCTGCAGAGGTCATAAAATTCATCCGAGATCCTCTACAGAAGCTTTTATCATAAGTCATCCAGCTCCACTTTTAAAGTTTACACCTGCAAATGAATTTTAAAAGGTAGGAGGGATTAGGATTCAAATGCGACGAGGGACAGAGAGCTACAAAGACTGAAACAAAAAGCTCACAAGACAAACACAGACAATGAGAAAAAAAAACGTAGGAAGTTCTCCAGTCTTAAGTCGACATTCCTCAGCCCTGATGCCTGAAGAATCCTAAGATCCTAAACCTATACAGTCATCCGCTGTCTAAATCCCTGCAAACAATACTCCACAGCCCAGGAGAGGCGGTGGGATATTCAGCACAGGTGGCATCAGGTGCTTCCCAGTAGAGACAGATGGAGCTGGAGAGCAGATTAAAGCAGAATAGATATTCTGAGCCATTTGCTAGTCTCCGCTCTGCAGAGGAAGCTGATTCATTCATCGCAGGAAATGAGAGAGAAAAACCCGACACCTGTGAAGCTGCTACAAAGGTGGATGATCTGGTGGAAACTGTGATGAGGAAGAAAGAAAAAAAAAACAGCAGAATAAAAGCAAATGATCTCTCTTTAAGACATGAATTTAACCTGGGGAGTTTGAATTCAAATATAGACTCCATTAAAGTCCTCCTGAAGAGAAAAAAGGAGGGTTTACTGGAAATGGTGTTAAAATGGATCCCAAGAACCTCGCTCTGCTGTTTTTGTTTCTGACCATTGTTTGGACAAAAAGGTCGGGTGAGATCAAAAACGACCAGCGTACGATATCTTCCTACGGATTATGTTTCAACGTTTGGTGGGCTCGACGTACACTTTATGGAGCGAGCCACCAATCACAATTGTTCTTAACCAGCTTGTGCAAACAGGCCACGGGGGTTTGTGTGAAATGTCGTTGTTTTACGAATTTCATTTGCTTTTTGATTAGTCGATTAACAAAATACCGTGCAGCAAATGGTTGGAGCTACGCATGTGAGAGTTTTGTTTGAGATGGCTCTATTCTTTCTGTGATTTGAGGCTTTGAACTGTGAGTTGGACTTTATTTTGAAGTGTTTTCTGTTATGATTGTAATCTTGGTTGGCACTCATCAATGGAATCACTACATCCTGGTTTTCTTTCATGAGGTATAATATGTGTAAGTACACAGTCCCATCCTCGGGCTGGGCAATAAATCGAAAACTTATCGTTATCGAAATTTCTGACTCTTATCGAGATCATTTTTCCCATGTCAATAAATCTGATAATAAAAAAAACTAAAAGATGTGTGTAGGTTGGCAGCGTTCATGTCCCTTTAAGAAGCGGTACCGCCTTGAGTCACGTAAAAATGTGACTCTACATGATACATGCAACAGCCCCATCTAGTGGACAACTTTTGTTTCTGCACACACCTGTAGTTATCGTCCACTTATCGTTATCGAGGTGAAATCCTCAATATATCGTGACATTAAATTTAGGCCATATCGTCCAGCCCTATCCCATCCCATCCGCAAGACTAATTCTATGACATAAAATAGTCACTCTTAAAAAGAAAATAAAACACAATCACTGTCAAAGATGGTAGAAAAAGTTGTCCAACAGACCAAGCTTATTGGAAATTTAAATGTTTATTGCAAAAAGTTTTGGGTCAATTGCATCCCATATGCATTCGATTTCTCTGTATTCCACTTGATTTTGACTTTGAGCATCTAAAATAGAAACAATTTTTTTTTTGTTTAAATTTTAAGCAAATAAGTAAAAAGCTGTAAAGCTTATTTCGCAGACTGGAATTTGCCCTAAACAGCGAGAGTTATTTTCAGTAATCTGAGATTACAGGAAAAAAGGGCCACCAGTGTTTGTGCAGACATACCAGAAAGCACCACCTCAACGAGGTCCCCTTCATGGATGTCTTCGACCGAGGTCAGCCTCTGCAGGATGTTCTCGTCAGTGAAGTCATGGCGGAACAGCAAGATCTTGTCATACATTCCAAAGAAGCCACACTCTGGAAACTGGGAAGAAAGAGAGATGCGGAAGAAGATAGTGAGTAAAGATGCACATCTGAGGCTGGCAATCAGGACGTTGATGGTCATTGCATTAGTTCACAGAACACAATCGATGCAGATCAGTCTGGTTTATCTTTATAGCCTCCAGCAAATACACACAAGCATCTGTGATCTTATTACGTCACTTCCAGTGGCTTACATCACCACTGGTGAGGCTATTGGAGGTTTCTGAACCTGATGACTCAGGAAATGAGCCCCTGCTCAGGCCTCCTTTCCTCATTTCAGAGGAATTTGCACTATAAGGTAGGAGGAAATGCGACTCACAGGAGCCCACGCTGAAGAAAAGTTCCCATTTTCTGCACCACAATAAAACAATTACCACACTTTTAACCCTCAGTGGGTCATAAAGGTGACTCACTCGGCTTTTTGTGGCACTCCAATGCGAAAAATGAAAGATTTTCAAGCAGGAACACAAATAAAGACGCTTAAATTAGCTGTTACTGTCACTTATATGACGAAAATGGTTCAGATTACATTAGGAGGTGAAGAAGGCGGGAGGGGGACTCAAGGGAAAGGAAGACGAGGTTTTGACAGGAGTAGAGGAGAATCAGAGAACAGGAAGTGCAACTCCAGTCAACATAGTCACTTCCTGCACTGAGAGCAGCTTTGTTGTCACAAATAAAGTAGTGTGTAAAAGTTTTAAAAAGTTAATATCATTACTTCCCAAATGTAAATGTTAATTGAGCTTTGAGCTTTTATTCAAGCAAAAATCTGATGTTTAATAATATTTTAAATTTTAAAGAGAGATTCATATTTTCAGCATCAGTGGCAACAACAAAAAAACACCCCAGTAGAACAACAACACATTTCTGCACCTTTGAGGACGGAAAGTGTCAATCAACACTAGAAAAACGATGAAGGCGGCTCTGCGTGGTTGTATCAGAGTGGGAATTGGGGCTTCCACTCTGACATAAGCCTAGATCTAATGCCAAGCTGGTACTGATGGATCCGCCAGCTGTTTCCCCCCCGAACCCGAGCCACGCACAATGGGCTGAGCAAAACAATGCCACAGTGGCCCGGGGAGCACCAGAGGTTGGCATGGTGTCTGAACACGGGACCCATAAGACACCTGGAGCTTTGGAAGTGCCAAGAAAGACAGACAACAAGGCAGAATGGTGGCTAGGGACGCATGAATGTATCAGATGGCTCCAGTAAACAAGGACAGAAGGATAAAACTAACAAAAATGGAATTTTACAAAGAAAGTGGCAACAATTGTGTCTTTTTGCGGGAATTAATTTGGATAAACATTTCAAAATGGGACTTTGCTTTTCTTTTCAAGGAACGGAGCGAGTTACATGATCAGTTACGGCTTTAGCCGAAGCTTTTCTTCTTTTCAATTAGTGCTTTAATAAACCATCACACCATCTTCCTTTATGCGCTACAGTGTTATTTAGATAACATGATAAGAGATTATGCCTGGTGTAACGGAATGAAATCACTGTTTTCCACCAAAAGTCATTTTCCCCCTCTCCTCTGACACAGAACTAGTCTGCATGAGATATGGCCTCAAGGTCTCATGCATTTGCTTCTAAACCGCTTTCTTTTCAGCTCAAGAGAAGAATGAAGAAAGGACTCTCCTTTTAATTAATAAAAGAACTCTATTTTTAATAAAGCTAATCAAACAAAGTGTTAGTCAATAATATAATGTCGACCGATCTGTGAAATCAAAATATTAGTTATTTTATTATAATCCTATAGAATATAATAAGTAATGTGACTTTAAATGTTTCCACTAGGACTGATCTCACGTAGCGTCAAGAGACGACACATTGCTTTCACTGATCCAATCAGAATCTGCCAGATCTGACGGAGGCGTGGTTTTGGTGGTGTTTGGTAAATCTGTCATCTTTTCATTCGACCATAAACCAAAACATACGAAGTATAAAACTATGCCCACGTCATCTCTAACGCCAGTTCAAAGCGTTCTAGAGAAGTTGTCGGAGTGGCCAATCCGTAACTTTCCTCTTCAGCCAAAAGAACCAATGACAAGCTGGATAAAACCTGTTGCTGTTCCAACCGCTGCAACGGTTCCTTTCAGAATAAAAGCTGAACCATCACGGCCCAGTTTTTGGGTCTCGCTAGATGCCAACAAAACTGCCGTGACCCAGAAGTATCTCAAGACTGGCAGTCGGCTGCCGCGGCTGTTTCTACAGACTTCGGCTCCATAAAGGTCAAGCTGGACCTTGTTCATGTTCTTCCAGTCGGAAGTTCGGAGTTCCGAGGAGAAAACGAACGCACCATTCGCGGAACGGAAGCTAACATATCAAGCTAATGTTATCTTAAACAGTTAATTTACCTACCGGAGCAGATTAAGATGAGGATGTCTCACTTAGATCGTTGTCGCTGGTTTCATCATCACCCAGTTACCCATCACATTTAGTGAAGTGGACCCAACCTCCTGATCAGACGAGGACTTCCGCTAAGGGTACGTAGACCGACAAATGGCGTTGAATGTGTTTATGAATCTCCTAACCAAAGCGTAACACGAAGACATCACCTTCATTTCCCATCAGAACTAATCGCTTCTTTGGATTTGCTGGTTCTGAGCAACATTCCACATCACACCATTCTCCGTCTCATTCACCTTAGTTACACCATACATTTAGTGTTAAAGTTAGTCTAGTTTAATTTGTTTATTAATAAATCTTTAAACTTGACTCTCTCTCTTCTGTTGTATCTGAGTGAATACGAAGCTGTTATCTAATCCCTGCAATAAAAAGTTCCAATCTTCTGGTTAAACAGTACCCACAGATCCATAAGGTTGATTTCATATTTCCTATGGAATCTTATGGCTTATTAAATAACATGTAAATTAACTCATTACACTGGCCGTTAGCTTATCAGTCCCATCACAAAAAACAATATCCTGATTTATTTTTCTACATTAAACAATTTCAGTGACTATTTTGACTAATGTATGAAGCTTGCATCAGTTTTAGTAACAGCCCAAATTATTGAAGAATATTTTATTAAAATAACCACTAAAGCTCTAAATCTGTTATATATTTTGTTCTAATTTTTTCTTTTTTTTCAATATCCTGTGTTTTATGATTTTAATAATTTTTTCCTCCAGAAAACATTAATCATCATGCAATAACTTCATTTTCTACCTAAATTCATCCTATATTTCATATTTATTATGGTATGTGTATGGTAATCACCTATTTGGTTCTTGTTGATGACGCCACAAAAAATGTGCTCCAAAATAGCTGAAATATCCCTATAATGATCTAATTTGAGCAAAAATAATTAACCTTTATTTTTCTATAATTACAGGAATAAAAAACGTTTCTGCTCATTTCTGGGTGTGTAAAAGGGCACGTGTCTGCCTAATGGACCACATCCAACTCACCCCCTCCTTCTGACACATCCGCATCCTAAACCCTGTCACGTTTCAGGTGATTATTACCATGCGGCACAAACCAACCCAGGCCGGAGAAAGAGGAGCATCCTTCCTGAGCCGGCTGCAGTGTCACTGTGGGGGTTTCCTCCACCGGTTTAAATCATTGACTTTGACACGCAAAAAGAAAATGATGTTAATGCCGTCCAGCTCCAGTCGCCTCCTCTTGGCTCCATGTGCAGCACTTTCCATCAGTCTGAAGCTGGAGCATCAGCAGGCGAGCCTGTAATGGTTATGAGGGAAGAGTGCTCAACTTTCCATGCCCATTAAAGCAGGAGAAAGCAATCGCTGCAAAAACAAAAAGGTTTAAGATTCACTCGCCCAGATTTTGAGACATCTCCAGCCGAACACTGACACATTTTCATGTCCTGCAACCTATAAAAACCATTAAACACCCTCCACACATGCTACAAGTGACTTATCTTGTTGAAATCCATTTATGCGAGCACCCACGACCACACACACACACACACAAACACCAAAGACTGGAGCATAGAAGAGCTGTGTGTGAGGTCCACAAGTCAGGCTGAAAAGACTAGTGGAACGCGGCTTTGCAGTTGTAAGCTTTTGTTAAACGATCTAATCCACCATTGATATGTTAAATCTTGTTATAAGGAAAAAGATTCAGGAGGGCCAGAAGAGAGAAGTGATGATAGGGAAGAGTTTTACTAATAAGACACAGAAGGTCCAACCACTGTGCTTTTAGATGCCAGATGGGACTCAAGACAAGATTATTAGTTATTTTCCTAAGTTGCAACAGCGTCGAAGACAAACAGGAAGCAGCATGTGAGTTCAGACAGGTGTGCTTACTGCTGGACCTCAAGCTGCTTCACACTTTTATGGGTCTGGCTGTAAGCCAGGTGGATGTGTTCCAAATAAAAGTTATGATGTTGGATGGAAAACAATGATGGGTCCTTTCAGCAAAAATCTTCAGAACAGATGTGCTTCTAAATGAAAATGTTGTTAAATCGCACAACAAATTGAGGCTTTATTACCTGTGGCATGACGCTGTTATGCATGAAACCTTTCTTTCTTTATCAGACAAACACCTAATCAGAAAAAACTAAAGTTATAACTTTTTTTTCTGATGTTAATCGATTTCCGTTTTGAGATCATTATGATTTTAGGACTTTGTTTTATTTTGTTTTGATTAGCGATGGGTACAGAATTCGGTACTTTTTAAGGTACCGACCAAATTCCATAGTACCGACTGAGTTTCGGTAACCGTCCTTCATAACGAGAACTTCCCTAGACAGCTGCGCATGCGCAAGAGCGTTACGTCGGTCGCTGCGAGCCAGTTGTAAACAGAGCAGCATGGTGGAAAGAATGCACGCTAAAGCTTGGGTCCACTTCACTAAATGTGATGGGTAACTGGGTGATGATGAAACCAGCGACAACGATCTAAGTGAGACATCCTCATCTTAATCTGCTCCGGTAGGTGAATAAAATGTTTAAGATAACGTTAGCTTGATATGTTAGCTTCCATTCCGCTAATGGTGCGTTCGTTTTCTCCTCGGAACTCCGAATTTCTGACTAGAAGAACAT